TCTGTTACAAAAAGAAGTGGGCGAGCATACTAATAGACATTTGCCACATTATTTCTCTTTTTTCTGCATGTACTGTAATTTGGGTATGGCAGAAAAACAGCAACTTATAAAGGTGTGTATATAATTTTTATAATGTGGTTATATTTATTAATACATTTTCATTTTAGTTAAATGTGGCAGCAATATTTATCTTGGTAGCCATTGATGAAGGCCCAGGTGGATCAAACATAAAGTATCAATTTAATGAAATCAATAAACTACATTCTGTGATATCAATTTTGGTGCGGTGTTGTGATTGTACAGAAAAATGTGTATCTTCTGCTCCTGTAAGTACATGTAAATAAACAAATACTGGTTCTCCAAATATACAACCACTTTATTATAAATGTAATCTGTTCTACATTTGAATTTGAATAATTAATCTGCAGGGCTTGAAAATACAATATCAAATTTTTTAAAAATAACAACCATTTTTAATCAGTGATAAAAATATAATTTGTTGTGAGATAAGAATATTATCCATGTTTGTCAGAATTTTTTTTTTATTTTGCCAATATTATGTGTAATTTTTTATTTGTAAATTAAAATGTAATCATTTATTTTTCAAACTTAAATTAACTGAAGAATTAAACACTTAATGAAAAGCCTCTGACACAACATATATATATTTTTTCTACATAGCAAAAAAAAAAAATTTATTCTTTTCAAACTGCTACTGATGGAGTACGAAAGTATGTTTTTTTTTTTTTTTAAAAAATTACGATCTTCTAATGGTGGTTATTTTCTACTTTAGCGAGTATAGCAGCCGACTTGTGCCCTGGAGGTTGTCATTATTCCTCTTAATGCATAACTCTAGGACACCAAACATGTGTTGCCTGACTGGTCGCTTCTGTTTAAAGTTCTTAACCTGAATAGTAGAGTATTTATTCTTCTTACCACAACTATAAGTAACCACTATAATATAGTATATTATACTATCCCTGACCACATATTTAGGCCATCTGTAACTTAAATAGTAAATACTAATCTCATGAGCATGAATGACAATCAGCCACGGCTATAGGGCTCAACATTATCTCTAAAATGTGTTGTATTCGTTTTACACTTTTGCTTTCTCCTTATTGACTTGATTTCCTAATTAAGTATTCAATTTTTATAGGGTACTCCTTTCCTACCGAATCCATTTGCAGAATGTCAACCATACCTAAGAAAAGTTCCTCAACAAGTTAAAGATAGTATTTTTGGTCGAATATGGTATGTATTATCTTAAAATTTTAATAAATAAACATTCATATCAATTTAATATGTAATATGTTTTTCAGTTATTTAAAAAAACTAATTGACAATTCTCAAATGAATGAAGAAAGTATGAAAATGCTACAATTTGTATGTTGGGAGAATCCATTGAGTAGTAGTATGGTTTTAACTGAAATATTATGGCACATTATGTATACATATTGTCAAGAGCTCAAATTTTATTTGGATTTACTATTTGTCATATTAAGTATTGAAGATTCCTGGCAAGTTTTACGCATTCAAAATGCCATGACTGGAAATGGTAAGTTGAAATGAATTTTAGTTTTAGTTCTACACTAATATATTTTTATTATTTTAGAAGATAGAGAAGGTGTACTTGACACGATATTGCGTCATAAAAATCAATATCAAAGACGGTCATATCAATGTATCAAAGGATTAGTTGGTTTATTCATGAGGATACCAATGGCTCATAAAGTTGTACTGCAATCTACAGATCTCAAAAGAAAATGGGTGGAAGCAGTTGATTGGCTACAGGAAGAACTTAATAGAGTACTATTATTATTTTGTTTTGTTAGTATTATCTCAACTTACTCTTGTGTCATTTTAGAAAACATTGACTGGAGGCCAGTATAATACGTATAATAGTTGGACACCCCAGTCCAATGAAAACGCCAATAGTTTTTTCTTAGAAAGGTCAACCAGTGCTCGTAAAGTCCTACAAAAAGCATTTGAGTTCTGCCCATCTGAAGTAAATTAAAACATATTACAATATTAATTTAAATTAATATTAAACAAAATATTTACAAATTTTGCAATGTTCAAAATAATCTTATATCAAATTTTAATATTGTGTTTAAAGGATTTTTCAATTCCAACATTGACCACACAGGATATAGAAGATTCATCTGATGAAGGTGATGAAGTGGGAATCCAACATGCTACTGATACAATGACAACTCTGGTGAATGAACCTTTACAAGTAGTACCAGACATTGTACCTGAGTAAGATAGCTATTTTTATATTTTATTGGAAAGAAACATAATACTATAAACTAACATAATAAAAATCTAGGAATGATGATGATTATGATGCTTCTGTTCCCATTAATTTCAACAATATAGATGATTTTGATAATGGTGAGGGTAATAACGTTGATTTGGTGAACACTCGAATTGTTGAATCATCGGATATGCATTAACTTGTGATCATAATATAAGAAATAATAAAATTCAATGTACAATCGAAAAACAAGTTATTGTTGTTTGGATATTATCTAACGATACATTATATTATTATTTATAGAATATTGTATTTTAATCCTTTTGCAATTATATAATTACCAATTAGCACAACCAGAGCGATCAATAATTTTTTCTGTACACGACAATTTAATGAATATTATAACGATATGTCTTAGGCTATCTAACATCTGCTGACCTAATATTAAATTTTAGTTAAATTTTTTTTTGTTTTGAAATAGTAATTACTAATTAGTAAATAATATTCAATATATAATTTTTGAAAAGAAAAAAACAACCTCCCGTACAGAAGTTTATCGATGACCGATTTTATACTTGAAAATGAAAAATTTTGTTTTATGCTGTAAAGTTATTTTGTGTACAGATTGGAACCATGCACATTCAAGTTGTTATATATAAATGTATAAATATATACTTCTGCGTGAGCAAAAATCCTACACTCTTTATACTGTCTTTTATTTAATATTTTTGTTGTAAAATGTACATTAATTTTGCTTTTTTACATTATTATTATTATTATTATTATTATTATTATTATTACTATTAATATTATTATTATTTTATTATTATATTTATTAAAAGTTGTCTGTATTATCTAGCTCTCAATATATCAATATCAAGTTTATATTTTAATACATCAGCGTTTATATATTATACAAATATTGTAATGGTAAATTTTCATATTTTTAAATTTCAATGACGCGTTTTTGTTTTATGTAAAAATATGAACTCCTTTATATAAAGAAAAAAGTGATAATCGATTTATAAGGTTTTTTGTGTAATACTCAGTTTACTTATTATGTATTATACTGATTGTAAATTATATTACATAATAAGTATACAATTTAACCCATGAACTATTAATAGAAATTCAATGATTAGGTATGCTTTTTGATGAATTTATTGAGGAGAAGTCTAATTGATGAAGTTTGATAATTTTTTATGTGTTCCAGTATCATAATTCAATAATAATATTTTATTATTATATTTTTTTTTTTATTTTGTGATAACTTTCATAACCAAAAGTATGGTAAGGCTGGAATTAATGTTTGTACATTGTTAACTACTGTTATGAAAAGAAAAAGTGTATAAAAAATAATTATGATGTGTATTGCATTTAATGTAATAAAAAAATGATATTTTATAAAGAATATCTTTATAAACATTGATGTATTATTTTTTTTTTATGTTGCATCGGATCCATTGTTAGTAGACTAATTTTACCTTGTTGGTGCTAGGGTATGAGAAATGTTTTGCGTGGTTAGAAGTAGTGAACACTGAACAGGGGTCTGTGTGGGCCCCAAGGCTACTACTCGTTCTATAGATCAATGGTGACCAAGTATGGCCCGCTAAAGTATAAAAACTAAATCAAATTAAATTCAGATTTACTAAAAATTTAATACAAATGAATATTTTCCATTTCTTATTGTAGGTAGTAATGTGACCTGCCAAGAATTTTTTTTTTGGCCCTCGGTAAAAAAAAGGATGATCACCACTGCTATAGGTTATGGAGCCTCATATACATACATTAGTTCTATTACTTAAAAATAAATCAAATATAATTATTTAATTATAAATGAAATGTGAAAAAAAAGTAATATTTAGAAAGTACTTAATTATTTGAAAACCTAATAAGTTTATTTTTATTTAATTTTAAAACGTCCATATCTTTTTACTTTTTAAGCTTCAAATTCACAGAAAAATATTGAATTATGGATATGTTTTATGTTTGTTTGTATTTAATATAATAGAAAATTCTGCACAATTTATTTTTTTCATTTATATTACATAATTACCTATAAACGTATTTTGGTATTCGTTTAATATGTGAATTACCGAGCAAAAATCAATATTAGTATGTGATCCAACTGTTTTACCGGGCTTAGTATGTGACCACCTATCAAGACGGTTATCTATATTATTTGCAATTAACATACACCAATCTATTAAATTTATTAACAGGAAAGATACATTTTTTAATTTTTTTAAGTGATATAAAAAAGTTAACCTATTACCATTTTTTAAAAATAAAATAAAATATTTTTATAATAAAATAGTTTTATGACATCTTTTAAATAATATTGACATTTCTGTAATAAATGTAATAAGTACTAAGTAGTATCTATGTGTATTCATACATTTTTCTTACTGATATTATGTTTGACTGATTTTTACATTATTCATTTAATTCTGTATTATTTTATATTTGTATTATTAATTAATTCAATAATTATTAACATAATCTTATGATTTTTAATTTGACTGTTTTTAATCAATTATCGGTCCTATAGGTCTCACACTATTACTGAAGTACTAAACGAATACCAATATTTTTTTATTATTATAATGGATACAAATATTGAAATATGTGTCACATTGTAAAATTAGATATAAATTACATTTTTCAATTTGAGCAATGTAGGCGATTAAAAGATACAAAAATATTATGACAATAACTTAAAATATTTAGAATTTAAGAACTAATGAATCCAATGAGGTTTCGGAGCCATAATAGGTGCTTCATTTGAATACCGTCTGTAAAGCTCGTCTATATAATTTTGTCTGTAGATACCAGGAGGTCTAAAATATTAAAATATATACATATAATTAATAATTTCATATATAATATGTAAATAATCAGTGGCACGATTATTATTGAGTATATAGGAATCTCTCCTGCAATTAGTTCATTATAAGCACTCAAAAATAATAAAAAGTACCACACTAGCTACTATCAACTCAATTTTTTCTATAAAACAAAATATTTCATCTTTAAAAAAATCAAAAACTATTGGCCTTTTTAAAAACATTTTAACTTTTTTATTATACTTCTTATACCTAGATTTTCTGAAAAATAAATTTAAAATTGTTTAAAGGAGCACAAAAAAAGAAAAATGTTCTTTAAATTTTTTTTAAATGGCTATATTAAGTGATTTGGTGAAAATCCTATGTAAAAAAAAAAGGTTTCTTTAGGAAATATTAAGAAATATAGAATAGCGTGTGACGTCAGTGGGTCCAGCTCATCGTAACTGCCTATCTTTACGTGTAAAAATTCCTAGCTTCATTCAACGATTTACCAATCTAGACATTTTATTTTTGAAATTTAGCTTACATATAAAATATGTGTGATTTTATGTTATTGAAGACGATAAAAGTATCAAAAATTCTATAGAACGTTTAGTTTTTCAAATATTAATAAATCTTTAAAATTATATTTTTGTAAAACTGAGCATCATGGCCATTTAAATATAAAACAAAAATTCAAACATTATTTCTTAAGAATTTTAATATTTAAAAAACTAAACGTTATATAGAATTTCTGATACTTTTATCATATTAAATACATAAAATCACACATAATTTATAACTAAATTTCAAAAATAAAATGTCTAGATTGGTAAATCGTTGTATGAAGTGAGGAACTTTCACACAAATTTTTTCAATTGCTCATAACTTAGTGAATAATGTGAGTAGAAAAGTAAAACCTATACCACTATTCTTAGAATTAAACATTCTTTCAAATTAAAAAAAAACTTTTTTGTGTGTTTAGTGCTTCTTTAAGAATATCTGGAGAAAAAATTTATCAATTTAATCGGCTAGTAGATAATCTAGTAAATAAGAGTCCCGGTGTTTATTACTAAGAAATATGATACAAAAGAGAAAAATTATTTTTAGTTTTAACTTTACCATGAACAAAAGCAAAATAACCCAGAAATTAAATAAAATTTCTAGGTTTTTATTAGTGGCACGTGCCATTATAAATCATAGTTAAGCAAAAAATGCAAAAATAATCAGAAAAACTGGAAATAAGCAAAAATAAGCACTTTCATAATTTAATGTTTTGTAACATACACTTTTATAGCACTCTGGAAAATTTTATGTTAACCATAAAAAAAAAGGCAAATGTTGTAAGTCCCAAACCCTGATTAAAACTAATAAATGAGTCTGTGATATCAATGCGGTTAGTATTTATTTATTTTTTTGGGTTACGATGCTTGATTTAGTAAAAAAAAATTAAGTATTAGTTTCATGCTGCAAAGAATCTCAATCTTGAGGACATATTAACAGCCATAAGACATGAAAACATTATTTCTGATTATTTATATTTTGTCGGACATTATTGTTATTTTCAATAATTCAGTGCCAAACCTCTAGGAAATCTATAATTATAGATTTCCTATATTAATGAGGTAGACGTTATCTCACACAATAGTAGCCTCAAAAGGTTGAGAACCATTGGTTAAATGGATATATCGATTTCTGTTTTGAATTTATTGGTTTTTAATGGAACTTCGTCTATTTTAAGAGATTGAATATGAACACTGATTTTTAAGGCATTTTAAATGTAAATTAAAATTAAAAATTCTTATTTCATAACTCAAACATGGTTTTATATATTAAATTTAAATTTAAATTTATTGTTTTGGAATTTGAAATTATATATGTATAAATATAAAATACCAATAAAATCAATACTGAGCCATTGGCAATAGGTATATAATATAACCCACCTGTGTACATATCATCAGATTACCTATTGGCTATTACATAAGAATTGTATGCACTTAATACAAATAAACTAAATTGCCATGCTAAATAATTAAAATAATATATTTTAATGTACACATGTTCAATTTTTAGGGCATTATTACAATTTTATAGGGAATTTCCTTAGTTTTTAGGGCATAGAATTTATAATTATAATTTAAGAAGTATAGGGTATCTATTTGTGTATACCGTGTATAAAATATATATAACCTACCGGCTGCCTATAAAGATAATATTGTGAATAATGCATATTTGTTTCTAATGACCTATGAGCAGAATTTATCTAATTTTTACTTTAAAGAAGATTAAGATTTATACATTGTATAATTAAAAAAATAATATCTCATAACAAATTCATAATTATGCCACAGTAAGTTAAATAGATTTTATATTACCTAGCTGCTGCAAAATGATGTATTGCACTTCCCACATCATAATTTAACACTTCTATTAAATAAGAAACTATCAAAAATCCTGTCCGGTTAAAACCATGAGTGCAATGAACACCTAGTTAAAACAAATAATTGCTAAATTTCAGACTATTAAGTTATTTATTATTATATAAATTAAATCAATTAATTATAACCTACCTATGAACTGTGAAAAATTGTTTTCTAGAAAATTATAGCAAATATTTAAAAAATAATCAACTATTTGTCGGTTAGGCAAATCCCCATGACCAACACAAGCCAATTTTACATAAGCACATCCCATATCTTCTACTTCAAATTGACTGTAGTAGCGATCAGTGTTTGTGAGATCAATCCATAACCCAATACTTTGCTGAAACAATTACATATACTTACAAAACTGGCATAACATATTATTATAGGATGGTTTAGTAACAGTATACGTCATTTAATTAAATTAGTTAATTTTTTTTTTTTGATTTTTTTTGTAACCATAGAGCATATAGCGTACAACCTATTTATTACTCACAAACCGAATAAAAAACATAAGTAAATAATTAACATTGTATTTAAAAATATGAACAACTCTTGTTTTTTCAATTAGAAATTAAAAAGTTGTTTATTAAGATTTTAGATTATAATTTTATATCATCAAGTACCTGATATGAACACATATGACTAAATACCGATTGTGGATTGAATCTCCTCATGATATCTATTTTATTGTCATATTTATAATCTAATGGTGTTTTAAACACCACAAATGAATCGGCTACCGACAAAGTAGATATAGAAGGACAATTCATCCAATTTTTAGGGATTTGCCGACTATTGTTTGATGTGCCCTGGCTGGATCTATTATGACCATAATGATTGAATCCTGCAAAATACTTGAATTTAATTTATGATTCATAAAATTATTTCAGTAATCGATTCAATATTATTTTTATTTCGAATCTATCTTACATAACACATAATAATAACATTAGCATGCATATTATGCATTAAGTTTATGTGAAAGTCAATCCAATAATACCAAGATATAATTAATAAAAATAAAATAAAATAGTTAGTGATCCTGATGACAATGTGTGTATCAATAAAATTATAAAAAGTCAATATGTCTAAACATAGTACCTATCTTATAATAATATGACAATATGTACCTTTATATAACACTGACATTAATTTTGTTTCAAAAGTATCTATCTGCTATGACATTATGTTTAATCAATTGAATCGTATTTTTATTTGTATAAGTATTTTACTATAAAACTAATTGTAATATCAACAAATTACGTATATCAGATACGAGCTAATGGTTCAGTTAGTATAAATTCGTATCAGCTATTAAATGTAATTTATTATTTAATTGTAATTGATTTGGCTGAATAAATAAAATATTATTTTTACCTGACATTGAAATGGTTTTTGTAGTACAAATAGGTAGGTACCTAATAGGCAAAACAAATGTATAGTGTTTGTCTTGTGATATTGTTAATATTGTTATTTTACTATTTTAAATTATAAAATTATAATAGATACAACCCACGACTCGAGTTAAGGATACAGGATAGTAATTAACAACTATAATATGCTATATATCATTATAGCAAGTAGTAACCTTAGATAATATAAGAATTATAACAAGATAGAATTCTGTAAATTATGATAGTTATAGGTTAGATTAGGAGGTACTACACTTTCATCATTCAAATTTCAAGTCAAAAAACATTTACAGTTGTAATCACGGACCACAGATATATAAAAAAAACATTGATAAAAATATTATAGATAGGCGACCATGATGGGCCACGATTATAAAGAAGAGTTCTTTAAAATCGTGGTTCAATGGTTCATGTATTACTATCAATTTTGAGGTTATACGGGGTAAAATGGTAAATATTTTTTCGCTCCCAAACGTATAGCAATTAGCATTTAAAATGTTGAATTGCACTATAAAAAAAACCTTTTAAAACTTTAAATATATATATCTTATAACTATTAACTACATAATATTAATTATTTTAAGTTTTAACATAACCTTAAATAATACCCCATGTAGAAGAGAGAACATTCTTAAAGATATTTTCTCTCTCCCACAAAAAAGAACGTGACCTCATACAGTGTTAATAAAGCCATGGCCTATCCATTTCTATCCATGAATATAGATTCTAGTCTTCAAATTCAAATCCATAGTCAAATTCATAGTCCTTAAATCTTGTATATATAATACTAGTATTGATAAGTAACGATGTTACATGACGTGGTTTAGTGGTTATATGCAGGGCCGTCCTTAGGATTTGCGATGCCCAGGACGAAAACCAATTTTACCACTTTTTTCAAACCCAAGGCCTCCCAATGTAAGAAAAAAGCGGGAGGCCTAGGGCCTGGGCCCTCTTCACCCACCCCACCCCCCCCCTCTTAAGGACGACCCTGGTTATATTTATATTATATTTAATTGCTATATAGGTATTATACAAAATAGTAGAGATGCTCCAAAAAATTTAAAAATATGCAATTATATCTTAGACGATAGACATAATATTATCTAATACCTACATATTAATATATCTATGAATTATATGCACTATAAAGTATAAAAATATGCTTAGAATTTATTAAAAATATGTATCAATACAATTAATTATTTAAAATGTATTTTATTTATTAAAAATTTAAATAATTATACTTAAAACTAAGGTCTAAGAGTTTAAGTTCTAAAGAATTATTGTTTGTTAATCTGAATATAATATACATGGCCACAGATCATAATAGGTACATATGGGTATATAATAATTAATATATTATATATTATTAATGCTCAGTTAGTACTTGGTAATATTCAGTGCTTGATTTGGAAAGGGGACTCAGCGGATGTTGGATGAATGAGCGTTCCACACAAAATGAACTGTCGCATTAAAGTGGGGGGCAAAGCCCCCCACACCCTCATTTCAACCCCCCATAATCCCATACCCATAATGCCAAAAAATCATTAAATTTACTAAACAAAAATATTTTAAAAGAAAAAACACTTGCTTATCCCTTATTTGATATTTCTTTTAAAACATTAAAGGTAACATTATTAATTAATTATTCTACAAAAAAAAAAAAAAAGAAAAAAAACTACTTATTAAATAAGGTCCACAAGTTTTCGTATAAACTATCTTCATGTTTAGAAGATCGTTTCCGCAATACCCTGGAAAATTAAGAACCGTAATCTCCTGAAATTATGAGGAAAGCTAAATGACATGGACCGTAATCTCAGGGAACGTAAATTTCCGGAAAAGTATAACACGCACGACACTAAATGTGTCTAAAGCCATCAAGTGGAGCGTCCATGTAAGATGTAACTATATAGTATATAGGTACTCTGTCAATGAAAACTGATCCGACGCCGATTAAGGTGACTTGTTACATGAAACAGCGAGTAATAGGCTCGCCTATTATTAGTAATAAACTAAATATTAATACCTTCCGATTTTTTCAATAATAATATGCACCAGATTCTGGAAGCAGGGAGTTTAGTACAGTTTCATAAGCTGAAAAATGGAAAGGGTGAAGCCCCGGGTTAAACTCCGTCCCCATCAACAGTTTACAGAACAAAATTTCTGGAAACGTATGTAAATTAAACCAAAGAATTAAATAATATATTATTATTAGCCGGACCCTGAAAAGTTTGAGTTTCCGTGCTGTGTCTGGCGCCGCTGACGGCCTAGCTAATCTCTACCTCTCATCCCGTGCCAAAGTCTCCGCCGCTGCCATCGGAACTGTTCGCCGTCATATTTGGTATCTCTTGATACCTCTTCTGTAAAAAAAAGTTTGGTTGTCTTCGTCGTCGTCCGTAGTTCAACGCTACCTACCGTAACTGCAGCCGGGCGCCCGCCGTGTCTCCAAAGCGTCTCGCGCTTAGATCATAATATGTATACTACATAATATTATAATTTATAGTATATTATGATCTAAGGTCTCGCGTCATCGGGGACCTAGCACGCTATACGCCCGGGAACCCGTCTCACCTTTTGTGGCATGAGAACGTGCAGCGTAGGTAACATACCGCCAGTCACCGCCCGTGCTCTTTCTCGTATCCTTCCGTCCTTTTAGCCGCCATAATCCTACATCACTGCAGTTACCTATATGGCCACACTACCCGGGATCTCTGGTTATTATAATATAGGCTGCTGTATCAACGGCAAAATATTTGCCAATCCGTTCATCCTCCCTTAAACCAGCATATTCATACCTTTTGTCCAATGTTCAAAAATAGTATGGATAAATAATAAATTATTGGAAAGGCTTCTCCCTCATTTTACCATTTGGTATAGAGACATCATACCTATACCATTTATCTTTTCTATCTCCTGAAGGTGTTGTAACTCAATACTATCTCACAATAACATTTTCTTTTTCTCTCGCCTTCGTTTTGAACATTATTTCGATGTGTCACCTCGTATAGTTGACACTTGTATCTCTAATTACAGCTAAAGCTTGTGACGAACGTTTTCGTCATTATTTTCACTTTTGTTTCTCTATTCATTCGATGATATGACTCTTTGAATAAAACTGCATATCCATTGTTGCAGAGACAATAAACAGCTACCATACGACATATAGGCATATAGCACATCACTACTCACTATATATATATATCAGTCACCTGTTAAATATTATTCACAGACCTAGTATAACTTATTATTAATTACATTAATACTATAAAGTATAATTATATACTAAACATGCTGCAGTATATGAATTGTATAGGAATTAGGAATAGACAATAATTATTATACGTATACACTATACACCGTGGGCCGTGGCCTCTATACGACCGTTATGAAGAATTTATACTTTATTGTACATAGTATTTACAGTCCTAGATAATCAGTGGAGTAGGCAGGGGGGCTAATGAGCTGGAACCCCTCACCACCATTTGCTGTATTGATATTAATTTTTTATTTATATTTATATATTATAATTTATAAACATTCGGTCAAAATGTTGTGTATGTACGGTTATTTTTTTTAAAACTGGTTTTGCGTAAAAATCTTAGCTTTTCCTCAATTATATTTTTTTGTATTTTCTGACGCTTTTCAAAACTATACTGGATTACTGAAAATAATTGACAAACGTTGAAGTTGTAAAACATTTTCAAATACCTCACCTAAGCGTTTAAAATTATTAGACTGGACAAAGTAAAAATAAAATTGTATTTTATTACTCATTACGTATAGGTACTTTTATAACAAAAAGTTTTTTTTTAATAATATTTTTGTGTTGGTATGCATATTATTAATTTATATTTCACATCATTTAAAACTTAAAAAGCACCTACATTGTTTTTGAAACCTTACCTTGTAATTTGAGACAACTGTGAGTAGTTAATAATTTACAAATTACAAGCCCCCACTTCTCCCACACCTATTGAAAAATCATAGCAATAATAATTGGTATGGTAATAATATACTAATAGCAATTTACGATTTTTAGCATAAATGTATATAATATGTACAATGTATTGTATGATGCATATAATATGTGTACCTATTATATTATTTAAATAATATCTATATCGACTATATCCGATGTCGCTTTGAAAATTGTTAGAATAAACAGAGGCGTATTTAGAAATATTTAATTGGAGCTAGGTCAACTAACTCATCATGGATGATATAATTTTACAATAGTTTTGCAGTAATAATGCCTTGGGGGGTTGGGGCTTTACACACCCTCATTATTTAGTATTTTAAAATAATTTAATCTTAAACATTTTATAGAATCATGTACCTATATGGCTATATAAAATATAAATTTATAAGAAAACTGTCTTGCGCACATTTTACAAATATTATTATATTATATAAACATAATAAAGTAGGTATATTCAAATATATTATTTATGTAAATATATAGGTAATACAGAAATACAGAATACTCAGTAATATATACTCAGATGAATAGGTACATAGTACATGTTTTTAGTTTTGTATGAAAATAAGCAATTTCCAAAAAAAAATGAATAAAAGGTCACTCAGTCACGCGTGAATCATGTGGCATAAAAAATAAAATTATACAAATAATAACGTATAACACGTAAATTTTAACTGGTAGTCAGTAGAGATTGTAGAGGTTCCTACCTATAATTTTTAAGTTATAAGGTAAAAGTTAGATATATTATTATAAGTTTAAAGTTTTACATATATGTAGGTATATATATTCCATAAGTAAATTATACAGTAGAATCAGTTAAGTAATCAGTAGATAGTATATAAAAATAGTGTTTTTCACTATGCTACTTTTTCATAATAATATAATCGTGTAATAAAAACTGAATTAACAACACAATATACTATATAGTATGTATATTGTATACCTATTACCTATGATGTGTTTTAGTGTTTATAAGATTTATTAACATTCGGT